CACCTCGAAAGCAAAACGAGTCAGTTTGAAACTGTTTTTAAGTCGTTAGCATGCTTTATTACATAATTTAGAGTAGAAGAAAGTTTCAAACTTTCACTTGCTTTAAAAGTTAAGAACACTTATCGATAAATCACGAGACAGTTTGGCAACAAAACCAACTGTAAAATTTAGCGGGCCGTACAGGAGAGTATGGTCCGCTAAACTGACCAATCACAGTGCACATACTAATTGAGAGATGTAATAATATTAGTTCAATGACAAAAGTTCTTTGGTTTGACCAGCTGACTACAGATTTGCTGTATTGGAATCAAAGCGATGGACTTCTTTAACTTGGGTTGATAAGTCAACTTATTACATGTCAAATAAAGTAGCGGACCAGCCTTTTCCTCAGCATGTACTCAACCTCTGGGACATTCAGTTTGAATGATCCTGCATTATTTTTCTTGAGGATTTTTAGTTGTGTAGTAAGTCTCTTATAACCAAGCTTGCTCAGGACTGTACTGGAGAATATCGGCCCACCGTCTTGTTTCTACGGACCTTACTGGGCTCAGTCTGTGCTGTCAAGACCTTGGCCCAATATTCTCCCAGTACAGCCCTTACTCTTGGTTAATAAGCTATATTTATGAATATTATTTTTTTATTGTTTCAGACTCGTACAATTGAAGAGTTAAAGGATCGCTACTATAGCTGTGTTACAAGGTTACTCAAGGTAAATGGCACCTTAGCAGGCTGTAACAGTCATGTCCTCCTTCTGGGTTAGCAAGAACCTTCATCATTAGGCAAACAATGTTTCAGGTCATAACTGTTGTTTCATACTATACCATACTTGTAATAATGAAATTGTGCGGAATACATTTTACCACTTTCAGTTTATTATAGCTTGAAAAAGCATGATTTTCTTGGCACTGAAGAGGGGTTGGGATTTACATGTCACACATAGAATAAAGAATTTTGTACACAAAGGTACAACATAGTGTGGTCTTTGTATACTGTACCATCCTTCTTGATAATAATCACTTGCAAGAACATTAATTTTCAAATACATTATTGATTTATAAGAATTGTATGACTGTTATAAAGCTGGTTTAATTTTGGGCTTATTATTACAGGCTCGAGCCCCCCCAGGGCAAGAACCACAGAATTTGCCTGCACCATATGACAGTCAGCATGAAACAGAGAGAAAAAGACAACTTCTGAAGCTGTTTAACCGTACTCAAGAACAGGTACATTGTACAGCTGCCAACCATGTCAGCTTCTTTGATGCTCAGATGGGCCATTGGGAAAATTTTCCCATTAAATTTTCCCTTTTAACTAAATTAATCATGAACATGTGAGATAAAGCATTTTTTTAAAGCACAATAGCCACAAACATTTCACAAGTATTTGACAATTATTGTTTGCTTTTGTATAAATTTAACTTGTGATTGTTATTTCAATAATCATCTGGGCTGGGTTGTTCAAAAGCCAGTTACCCCAGGGCTAAAAGTTAACTTAAGTGTGTAAAAAATGTTTTTCACTGCTTATGTTTTGTGTAGTTTAAGATTATTCAAATTCAAAATGGAAGGACAAACAATATGAACAGAAAACCTCACTGAAAGGTTTTTTAACTGAAATCTTAATTCTCACTAATCTTGGGTTACAACCCAGCCCTGAATAATAAGACAGATGCAGTCAGAGATTGAAGGTTTTAGCTGTATTGCCTACATGTATTGTTTTCATATTGATACTAAAGCTGATCACTAAATTGCTCCTAAGTGTCAGCACAAAGTAACATTACACAGGGCCATACTGACAGAGGGGAAAATATGTGAACAGTGATTTATAATGACCAGCCCTGTACAGTGTAGGTTCACTCTAAGTGACTGCCATTCAACTTCAGTGACAAACCCTACTGTTGTTTGAAGAAATTAAATACATTGTTTTTCTGTTCCTTAAATCATTTTCTTGAGAAGAGTTGAACCCTCAGGAAGCACAACATGGATGATAAGGATATGTTTGTTTAAGGTTGACCTCTGTTAAGTTTTTTCAGAACTTAACATTTCTTTTGGATTTACCAGCCCTTATATTTTGCTACTTCCAGGTGGCTGCAACTTTCGGGGGTTGCTACTTTTGGATAGCAAGGCAAAACATGTAACACTTGTGAACTATAACTATTTGCCAAGTGGAGAGTCTGCCTTTAGGTTAGGGCATGATGATGTAGGAATGTCCAGAATAGAGTACATGTATAGTGTTATTGTAAGTGGCATAGTGGGACTTAGACAACTCTAAGTACAGTATGACAGTTCTTAAAATGCGGCAGTAGCTTCTTCCTCTCGCAGTATCTTCTTTCACTTTTCTTCAAAGTGAAAATGAAAGTGTAAAGTTCTGAATGTTTACTTGTAAAGAACCTTAATTTAAGTGTCAAAGTATTTAGTCCCAGTAGACTAATTGAGGGCACTAAACAAGACTAAAATGCTAAAAATGAATATTTAATGAATATTTGTAAGGTGCAAGAGGAAGAAATGCT